AATAATTCACAAACTCAAACAAAGAAGAAGCTGCGAAAACGTGGAACTCAAAGAAGACACTGCGAGAGGAGAGGATGTGACAAAGGGTAGTGGAGGACAGAGACAGTAAATACACAGGAAGGTAATTAAGAAAGTGGAGACAGCTGGGGAAGAACAAATCAGGAATAACAAGACAGGGGAAGCAAAACTGAACACAACACACAAGCATCAAAAGGAAAACATAGAGCGTCATAAAAACAAGAAGAAATCACTAATTCATTTATTAAGCACTGTACATATATACAGAAAGGGGCACCACAAGGAAAAATGCAGCTTTTATTATCTTCAGTTTTCAGCCCTTATGGCGCACTGAGGAACAGACAATACCTTTAAAGGAAATAAATGTACACATGAAAAAAACCCAAATAAACCCTGATAATGCCTCGACTGCAGCTCTCTGATATCCCCCCTGCTGTAAACATTTGTCACCCACTTCAAAATCCTCCAGCACGTTCTGTCTCAGTTGCTGAGCTCTTGACCGTGATCATTAATGTTGTCTGGAAGCAGATGTATTGATTGAGGGAATGCAGATAATAAAAAAGTTTCTTCCTGGCACACCATCACCGGCATCTTTAATCATGTCTTTTATAACGACTGCGGCCAAGTCGTGGCAGTGCCGTTTTTATCTTTTGACACTGTGTGGGAGTCGTTTTGGGCTTTTTTTCTTTTTTTTTTCTCTCTTCGTCAAAGTGAAAACTCGCACATACACTCAGAAACTGCAGGATTGTTAAGCCCCCATTTTTCTTGTGGCACGATGTGCAGTAGCACTTCACAAAAACCTCTTTCACCAAGCTGATCCTCTGGCTGTGAGGCAATGAGACAGAATGTTCTCACAGCTCACGGCTCCTGAAGTAAGAATATATTTTTCACCTACAACAACAAGAATTCCCATTTAACAGCCTCCTACAGGAGAGGCTGCGGTCCAGTAAGGCAATGCCACGTAAGGAGATCAAATTAGCCCTTTGCATGTTTCTTTCACTATTGAGCAACACAGTCAACAGAGCGCAGCTCACAAATGAATGACCTGATGCTACACGTGATGCTACTTGAATCTGGAAAGCATGCTCCAGTGTAAGAACTGGTGTTTATACCTGCGGTTCTTTGGCTACAACGTGTGGTTTTTCCCATCAAACGCAGGCTCTGCAGGCGGATGCTAAAAGAGGCTGAGGAAGCTTTTTCTTAAAATGAATTCTGAGCTTGTTTTATTATAAACCGCTCTGCATAAATCAGAGGCCTGTAACGGCCGACTTGTCCAACAGGCAAGAAAACAGCAACAATATTTCTGTGAGCAGTAGATACTGTGGTATCCACACTATGAGAATCTGATTAATCTCCAGTCTCTGCTCAGACTCAGGCAAATGCTGCACAAAGTAATTTTACAAAGCTTCGTAGTGTATTGACCCGTACTGCTAAAGCAACACAAGAGTTTCTCAAAGTCAGTCACCTGATCTCAACCCAACAAAGCACGTTTTTCAGTTACTGAAGACCAAACTGAAGGCAAAAGACCCACAAATAGGCAACAACTGAATGTGGCTGTAGTAAAGTCCTGGCAGAGCATCTCAAAAAACGAAATCCAGCGTTTGGTGATGACCGTGTGTTAATAGAGGAGCCAGTGACACCTTATAGAAGGGACCTAAATCTCTGGCACTGTTCACCTTTGATTACTCACTTGCGCTGATATCAACTGCTTTAGCCACGTTGGGGACCAATCAGAGCTTTTTTTAAATAAATAAATAAATGGTATAAACAGCTGTAAATTACTGCATAAAAATCTGCATCCTCTGCACACGGTCGTAAACAATCAGAGGAGCCTATTCAGTGACAGGCTGCTTCTCCCAAAGTCAAAAACCAACAGACTTAAAAACTCCTTTGTCCCACATGCCATCAAACTGTTTAACTCCTCACTGGAGGGGAGAGGGAGGGGAAACAGGGGGACGAGGGAGGGCGGGAACAACTGAGCTGTAGGTGCTTTTCTACACTGTGCAATATTTGCAATATTTGTTTTTGTTTTGTCTTTTTTTTTCTTATATTCGACTGTACAATAATCACTGTGCAATATACTCACTCAAATGAGCAATCCTATTTACCCATATTGTATATTCTGTATCTATATATGTGTATATGTGTATATATGGTGTATTTATGCTTATATCCTTACTCTCATTCCCCTTAATGTATCTGTAACATGCAACTTCTTTCGGTGCTTTGCTACTGGAAACTGAATTTCCCGGAGGAACCCACCCGAGGGATTAATAAAGTTTCATCTAATCTAATCTAATCTAATCTAATCTAATCTAAATTGTAAATATTAAACAGCTGAAGAAAATAAAATACATACAGTATATAATACGAGCAATAAAAGAAATAAGTATCTTCATCTTTCCGCCAGTTTACTGTAGTGATGAAAAGATGCCGCTCACTCCAGAAAGGAGGGTTTTGCACTGATGCTAATATTTAGCATCTGGCCCCCATTTTGGCCTGAAGATGCGATAAAATTCATTCAACCAGTTTGAATGCAGGGTACTAATGTTGTCTTCTTACAGGGTCTTCGGGGACCTCCAGGGCTAGAAGGACTTTTAGGCCCAAGAGGAGAGCCGGTGAGTCATTTTCAGTCACTGGCATGTCTGTCTGATGCAGAGAAGAGACAGCACGGTGTCACGCTGACAGATAGGGACATAAAGTGGCACTCAAGCTGTTTCTCTCACTGCCCTTCCTCATCAGTTTTTTTTTCCATTGTATCTTTTTTTCTTCTTCTTATTTTTTTAACTTGTATCCCAGGGCAAGCCGGGTGAACCGGGACCGTCAGGAAAATCAGGTCTCCCCGGAACACCGGTGAGTTTCCTCTTCCTGTTCTGCAAAATCTTTGCATTCAGTTTTACTTCCCCTCCTGTTTTTTCACCTTTGATGTAAGAAGCACGTATCCCTAATTTAACTCTGTGACAAGCACCCAGAAAATGAATGAGCTGAAGCAGTATTTTCAGTGATAGCAGAACAGGCAGTTGCTGTAGATGAAACTGAAGGCAAGAGGAGACTTTTTGAAGAAATGAGCCGTCAGATTTTGATGGAACATTGGAGAAAATGTTGCTCTGACTGGGGAGGGAGCATCACTTTCCCCTGAGTAAGGAAGGGAGTTGTCCAGGTTGCTGCTAGTTGGAGAAAAAAAACCCTTCACAGCCAAGTGAATCAGGTGATCGTCATTTTCTAGAAGACTCATCTAGTAATTGTGTTTTGATGCGTACCCACAGAGACGCGCCTAAGCTGAGTCTCTGGTGACAAAAGGTCTGAATTGTCTGATGATGCAGAATGCAACCAAGGTTATTGGAAGGTTTTGCACAGAGTGCCTGATATCAGAGGAAAAACAACTCTGGCTTACAAGGTTTCCTTCAGGGATGATTTTACAGTGAAAAGGATTTGGAGAAAAGCCAGCAGTGAGAAAGCCAGCGGTTAAAGAATTGGTTCACATTTACATTTTGAGTCTGTCAGGAAACAATATTCAAATGAGCACTTGAACGCTAAACAGGTTTCATTTGCTGTAATTATCCGTCCTGTTCAAACTGGCCATTAAATGATCCCTTTCTAAACTGCTTTGAACATAATAGACTGTAATCAGAATCTACATTCAGAGTTCACTTGAAGCAGTTGTGAGGGTTAAGCATCTCACCAAGTGGATATCAGAGTGGATATCAAATGAATTCCCTTTGCATATTTTCCTGAACTGTGTTTCCAGGCTCAGCAGCAGCAGAGACTCAGTCTAAGCTCGTCACAGAGTAGCTAAGTAACCTTTATTAGTTGTTTAAGCTTAAAACTTTCATTCTGATTAATCTTAAAAGTAGAGACAGTGTCCGTCATTCAAACCATGTGCAGTGGGGCAGTACACAGTAAAATGAGATGACATTCCTACACGACCATGGTGCTACATATGACATATAACAGACAACCAACACAGGACTGCATAAAGTGCAATGTGCAAAAAAGAACAACAAAAAAAAAACAAAGGCAGTGCAACACTACATAGAAGACAACGATGTGGACCCAAGACAGTGCAATAGAAATGTGCAAAAAGTAACTTGGTGTATGAAGGTGTGTGTGTGTATGAGATTGTGCAGCTAAGTGCTCAGTAGTGACAGTTTGGAGCTGGTTCTGTGAAAGGGAGACCCTTCAGCTTTCAGGCCTGTCCTCTGTGGAACGTGCTCCCAGTTTGGGAGCTGGTTTCACGGAAGAAGGGTCTGAAAGCTGAGGGCTCTCCATCCCATTCTGCTCTTAAATTCTCTAGGAACCAGAAGTAACGCAGGAGTCTGAGAGCGAAGTGCTCTATTAGGGTGATATGGCACTATGAGGTCTTAAAGATAAGATGGAGCCTGATTATTCAGGGCCTTGTATGTGAGGAGAAATTTTTAATTTTAATTTATCAGGGAGCCAAAGAAGAGAAGCCAGTATGGGAGAAACATGCTCTCTCTTTCAAGTCCCTGTCAGCACTCTCGCTGCAGCATTTTGCATCAACTCAAGGCTTATCAGAGAGCTCTTAGGGTGAGCTGATAATAATGAATTACAATATTCCATCTTAGAAGTAATGAATACATGAACTAGTTTTCCAGCATCACTCAGACAGGATGTTTCTAATTTTAGAGACGTTGC